TATCTAGCCACCAAGGGGAGGGCTCGTATTTGGCCTGGAAAGAATTTTTCACTTGCCTTTTCTAGCTTCAAATGCGCTACATTCCCCCTGTCGTGTGTAATTTCACAATTTTACCATACTTGGCGTTTGACCAGATTTTTTCCCTACCCTCCTAGACCGGTACCAGCGCTGGATTCCCGAAAACAACTTGAAAACGCTTTATTTTGTGCTGGTGGTCACCCTGGGAATGTTCAAAGAAATGTGTTCTCTGATTGAACGAATGACTCCCAAAATGTCCAACTGTTCAGGTTTCGTGAGGAACTTGGCGCTGGACCAAACACCTATGAAAGACTTCGGCACAACTCGATTAGGCGACGACTGACAAAGGTTTGTTACACTCTATGCACAGCATCTTGTCATTCTAGTCAGGACGCACAGTATCGATTATATTAGGCGTTTTTTAACGATTCAAATCGATCTGACTTGACACAAAGGGGGTCTGATCGGAACTTTGAGAGATTGGTATCTTCGGAAGGCCCTGTATGCGGTAATTTGCCACGGTTAGGTACGGGGGCTCCTTTTTGGGAGAGAGAAGTCGGCGGCAGCATGATGTTCGAATTGAAGCCAATGGTAGGCTTCAGTCAGGATCTCGTAGCTCTTATGAAAACATGATTCCTCTGCAAGAATTCAGGTCCCTGGCAGTTGGAGCAGCTCCAAGCCCCAGCTCCAGAAGTAAGCGCCAGCTCCAATTGCTCCTTGTCGGGGCAACCGCTTTGTACTCACAGCCGGCTGTGCTACTCCCTTACCCTCAGACATGCTCGTTCGACTGTTCTGCACCCAAGAATTTACTCATTTTTATTTCCAACGGCTTTCAGCCCCGTGATGCGCGTTGTTGAATCAATGGTGCGGACGGCCGTCCCTTCCACACCCATCACATCGCCGACCAACCGTAACCGAATTACCTGATCACCCGACCGCTTCAGTTCCTCGTGTGTCCAATGCGGTGTATCCAGCCAGTGATGGCGCCGTCGACGACTTTCAAAGTGTCTCCACTGATCGACACACTCTCTCGGGGATGTTCACGCTCAGCGGCCTGATTTAGCGCTCCATCGTCCACACCCAGTCGTTTTTCACTATCGCCCCGTGCAACGACATCGCGACGCCGATGGAGTCGACGACAACCCGACAAAGACCACCACACCCTGTTCGACATCAGAACGACTACGGTAGTCGACGTTTATGGGCGGACCCCCATCAAAGGACACATTACACACGACACCTGTTGCACACTCACACACCATCTTCAGATGGCACTAGACTTGAATGAATCCGGCAGGTTACAATACTCCTGTGAAACACGTGGTTAATGGTAACGGCTGAGTATTGTTGCGAAATGACATCAGCACTTGGAGTACTCGAACGGGTCGCACTTTATGATCGGCACGGACGCTCGTCACCTGAATCGGACTTGAGTTCTTTGACAGAATCCGTCACTATTAATTTCCAGGGCGGGAAATCATTAATTATCGTTTTCCCACTGTACAGAACAGTGCTGGTCTGGTTAGTTGATAGAAGCCATCCTAAAAAGGAATGGATCTCGTATTGAGACTGAAAAGTTAGTTGTTTTGAGAGTGCTGAAAAAGTAAATCATTGGCATATACGATTTGATATACCTTGGCTTTTTCACCAGGAGTTGCGCGGTCAGTCGATGTATACTCTTCATGAGCGCAGTTTGACGACGGGGGGAGGGGGGGGGGGCATTTTGTACACCTGGGTTCTGTTGAAAACAGTGTACATCATCGCTGTGGAATTCATGAGAGGGGTCGCGTTCAGTGAAAAAAAATTCGAAAAGGAAAAGGAAAAAGAAAAATATAGAGGGAATTTCTGGCCCAGTGGAGTTTTCTTGTATTCGGTTTACGCATTTAGTTTTGGCCGTGTCAGGGCCAGTTCCCGAGTCCCGGCTCGTATGTAATCCCTAGAGAGG